TATCGCGCTAACGGACAAATATATAAATAAATATATATATATATATAAATATATATATATATAAATAAATATATATATATATATATATATATATGAATTGAACGGATGGTGTTTTTGGTCTCTAGGGACCTTAAAACGAAAAAGTAAATCGGTCCCGGGTCCAGGTCTTACCATGAGTACTACGGTAATAACTTATTCCCTATATGGGAAATTCGCTAAAAGATTTAACATTCTCAAATCCAATGTTACCAGGATTGTCATGTTACCCAAAAAAACACAAAAGTGGAAAACAAATTAGGCCAATTGTATCATCAATAAATTCCCAACATACCTAATATCAAAATGGCTACTGAAAAAATTTTCTACACTAACACCATACGAATCATTTTCCATTAAGAACAGATATGAATTCATTGATGCAGTGAAAGACATTAATCCGGAAGATCATGAATGTTTAGTATCTTTGGATGTAGTTGGACTATACCCAAATGTACCAATAGAAGTCACTTCAGAACTGATCAAAGATTGGCTCATGAAATTAATCATTAAAAGGTTATCAAAAGGTGGCTACTTTTTGATAACCTTTTAATGATTAATTTCATTGTCACAGGTAATTTCGAAGCTACAAATCTCCTAACTCAAAGCCTGGATAGGACAGAAAGGCATTTATTATTTTTTTATTTCAACGGACAGCTCCATTTGGATAAGATTGATGGCATTTGTAAGAATAACTATGAGGATCGTGCTGCTGCAATCACTAAACTTACTGTAAATATATGAAAAATGTATAATTTTTGGTATTCTAAAACTCAATTACGTTGACTACAAGAGTCATTAACGTTATAAATTAATCAGACTTGGAACCTAAACGACATTACGGTAATGAGGTTTTGCTGTTAATGACTTTTGTAAACCATAAAATTATGCAAATTCCCTCGTTAAAGACTGGCGCTTTTAGAGATGGATTTATTATAGAATGGACTAAAATATAGTAATGTAGTTTACAAAGTTGTCTATTACATAAAAAAATCAATAGGGTTCCTTATAAAAGCAAAAATACTAAAACGAAAATGAGAAAACGAGATTTGATGAAATTGTTAAACCTTGGGTTAAACAAGAACAAGATTACTAGGGCATTCCAATGGTTACTTCTTTATCATTTCCGACCAGCGTATGTGGTCAAATGTCGCAACAATTTCTGACTACATTACATTGGATGGTACAATTAAGTGGGATTTCAGCAAAGATATATAACTGTGTTTTCCGTTTTTCCAATTGACAGTAATAGGCAACAGTTATACAAATGTTTAACATGAAAATAATTTGAAATTCCACAAAAATTCAAATAGTAGAATTTGTAAAATGTTTAAAAATACGAAATATGAAGAAATAAGTCACACTATTTCTCAATCCTGCGTTATCGTATCCTACAGTTATATACTCAGCAAAAAACATAAACGAAAAAAAATATTAAGACCAAAGAACACGTGTTGCATCCAGAGAACTGAAAGGGAAAAGGAGTTTGGTTTTAGAGACGGCTAAAGGATTTGGCCTCAAATACAATTGGATGGCCTTTGTTTGAAATGTAAAATAACGTAATTAAAGATTAATCAATAATTTAAAATATGCATATGTTATACCTTATATAAAGTTATTATAGAACACTAATATTTAAAGCTATTAGTAAAAACATATTTTCTGACCTTACATATAATCTTAGCTTGGCACGTACTTTTTTACTGAAAATATACACATAAGTAAATACACAATGTTATGATGATTTGTTCAATTACAAGATATTTATATATATATATCTTTGGAATAACAATAATTATATGGTTGAAATCAACTCATGAACACTTATTACATTTTACTTCCTGTTTCATACTAAAGCGATTATATCCAGTCGTTACAGATCGTTAATACAGTAATTGGCGAAAGACCAGATACGAAATGTTTCTTGTGCTTTCCTTCTACAATAGTAATAAATTACGTTATAAATTAATGAGACTTGGAACCTAATCATTACGGTATTGAGGTTTTGCTGTTAATACAAATGTTTATACAATGCTGATTATATAACCATTAACTAGCTTTACATTATCAATTAAATATAGATTATTCTTCATTGAAATAGTTATTTATAAATTAGTTTTTTGTAAAAACTAATAAAGCTGCATTAATTTATGTTACAGCATTGGCGTTGTTACCAACAAAATAAAATAACATTATTTAAAGAACAATACATTTATTATCCTTATTTTTGGGCTTTGAAGGAAACCCATTGACAATAAACGAGCACTGGATAAGAACATGAACATTTTTTTCAAGCTGCTTACTTCGATAAAGTACACACGTATTTTGTCCAGTCTACATAAATTAACATAAAAAAGGTATATTACAGAAGCAAACTTCATTTAGCATATAATTTTGTAGATGTAGTACTATAACAAGATTTTATTAAATAATCACATTATTTTACAATTTTCCAAAAGACTTTTCGATTACAACATAACAAAGTACGACTTAAACTCGAGTTTAGAGTTTAAGACATTTAGCCAAGATGGAGGAACACATTGTACAATATGTTGGTTCCTTTGTCTTGTTTGGGCTGTCGTTTGCATATTCTCTGTTTCCTAGAAGCTTATAAATATGTATCAACAGTAGCTGTTTAGCAGCTTACAGCCTTCTTTATATTTATATTCATACATTTTCGTTAGTTAAATCTATTCTCTCAATATATCAATTAATGTAAATAACCTTAATCGCCCAAAGATATTCAATACGGGAAATCCTTGAATTTGGTTTAATTTGTAGTTGTGAACTATTAATTTATTATTTGGTTGATAAACCAAAACCATTTGTCATACACACGATTTACTTTTACGTCCGATATTATTTTGAGTGGGTTATTTTGTTACATAATTGTTCTTTGTATAGTTTGTAAAGTTACACAGCTGGTTAAGTAGGTCCAGGAGCAGTATGGTAAAATGTGTATGGTAAAATAAAGGAAACAAATTGTGTTAATTGTAAACCTAAAATCAACCAAGTAGGTATGTATATTATTTGACTATTGATAGAAATATCCATTCTATTAGACGTTTAAATATTTATACTATTACAGAACATGGTTATGTTAATTCAAAAGATACCATTGTGAAGTAATATCATATGCGTAATACCACAGCCACCTCTAATACACCTTTCGAATGTGTTTTATTTGTATTGAAATGTTACTTGGATTCATGGAGGCAATACATCGATGACCCACTAACCCTACTTATCGTTTATACAGTATCTGCAATAGAACCAAATAGACGATATCATAGAATTAATTGATTCTCATGACCATTCCGACTGTTTAAACAGAGAGGCATTAGATATCGTTTATTCATACCTAAAACCTGTTTTCTCAAAGAAAAAGTTCGCATCACATTATTTTCATCGAAACCTGATCGACAATTTATTACTTAAAGTTAAATATAGTTATGAGTGTGAATCAACTTGAATGTTATTTTCGTATATACTGATATTTACTTTAAAATCATTCAGTGGTTCTATAAATTTTGAAATTTTGATGTCTTACAGGACAGGAATAGAAACAAATGTGTACATGACAGTAAAATAAATAATTGTAATGCAGCTGTTTTTTTCTTCCAGAAAACTTGTAGTGAATCAAGAACAACAAAGACTCAATATTATTAAGTCACTCTGAACTTAATTATTTTCTGTTTACTTTAAAAGAACTTTGCATAAATAAAGCGGATCAGAAAAGTTTAGTTTGCTGGTTAAGGCTTACATAACAGATTTTATGTTAATAGCAAAATGAAGATAATGCTAGAAACTGGGAGAGGGTTAAACAAACATGTAATGATAAAATGAAGCTTGCATGTCGATGAAATACATTTTAAGAACTAGGCAAAAGTTTAATACAACACGAAATGAATTTTACGAATAAGGATTCACAATATATTTTCTTTGGTGTGCTTTCGACGATTTGAATAGTCTTCTAGTGTTATACGTCCATCCATTTCATTTTGATGTCCCCAGAGGCCAAAAACACCACTCATTCGAAATTTATACATGTCCGTGAACGCGATAGCTTTAGTATTTTTTTTCTGATTTTGATTAAATTTGGTTAAAAGATGTAAGGAGGGATAAAATTGAATGAGTTCGCGAACCAGCATTTTCGAACCATGAGAACGGGGTTTTACGGGAGGTTTCATGGGGTAAAAAAAATGGGTTTTCTCATTTTTAACCTTAAGAACAAAAAATTTCCCAATTTCCTTCTAGGCCTTATTCAAGAGCTTAAAAACAAATAATTTAGGTTATAAAAGTGTGTGTGTTTTTTTATTTGTATTATTGGTAACGGAGAAAATGTATAAAATTGTAAATTTAAAATTGCCATGTTATTCTTATGGAGAATATTGTAAAATGTTGTAGTTTGCTTGTTTATGGATATATTTTGATCAAATTTATTTATTTTATTCTAAGCTATTAATATTTTACCAAAAAACACACTTAACTAGTTTCCTTGTAGCAGCAAACCTAGGTACTCGTTAAACCGAATGTTATTTAAATAGATTTAATTGAAAATAAATTCAGACAAATGGAAATTCGCTTAGTCGGCAGCTTGCTGTGGCGGGGGTATTATTATTTTTATTTGATAACATAATTGTTATGAAGCAAGGAACTATAAAAGATACTTCTTTTTAAATAGTATTCTAAAGTAAAATCCGTGTAAAGTGATAACCTAGAAACTTTAAATTTAGTCATGTTATTGATTGAGGAATATGTTAGTTCCGTGCTATTGTTGTCTTGTCTATGTATCTCAATCTCAGTTTTTCAGGTTTTATGCATTCATTTGTCAAAGTTGTGCATGTATTTATACTAACGCTCATCTAACATGTTCACTCTGTGGTTATGAGGCAAAGTTATGCATTAGTGATAAGTGAGGGTAATTATATTTTGACATGACGTATACGTACAGATGGATTGGCAGCTGGAGTTGGGAGTTTAACTTTCAGTTTATACTACGTGTCTGAGAATATCATGGATTCGAGCTTTGGGCCGGTGAGTGATTTTACATAATGGTGTACATTTTAGTTTTGAAACATTTTGTGATGTAAGGTTCAATTTTATACTTGCTTAAGTTGTTATGCTATTTACGATGTAATAAAATCTAAATAAGTAATAGTTTAAACACAAAATCATGTTGATTGATAAAGTTTATAATTTTTTTAAATCAATGAAATAGAAAATAATACATGCCATCTAAATATATCATACTAGACCTTTGCTCGAATGGCTCATTCAAATGTATTGTTTTTAAATCATAATTGGCTGCAGTTAGTTCATGTGTATGCTGGTATACTTTGATTAAATTTGGAAATGAATTTGTAGAGTTGGTTTGGTCTTATGTGATCGTTGAGTTGAATAAACTTGAATGGGTTCGTGAACCAGCAAGATCAGGTCATGGGAAGAGGGCGTTAAGGCATTTCAAAAATAAGTTTTTCAAATCTTTAGCCTTAAAACTTGGAAATGCACAATTTTCATTACAGTCATCGTTCTTTAAGCTGTACAGCTGAAAGAAACCAACAATATTGTATTTTGAAGTATTGTTGTGCAATTAAAGGTTACGGAAAGAATTCCAAAATACTGTACACTAAAATTTCCCATGTTACTCTTACGTAGAAAAGGTAAAGTGTAGTAGTTTGCTTGTTTATGGAAATAATTTGATTGAATTTAGTCAATTTGTTTATTTTATCCTATAGTATTAATATTTGACATAACAAACAATTCACCCCTTCGCCGTAGCAGCAAACCTAAGTCCTCATTAAACTGGCGTCATTTAAATGGGGAATATGACTTTTTTCTAACATTTTATTCAAAATTTAATATAAAAAAATAGTTACTTAGTCTGTAGGTTTGCTGCACTGGGGGTATATTTTCAATTAATTATGGTTGACGGCGAGACATTGACTTTGAATACTAAAGTAGGTTTCAAATATACAATGGCTATTTAATCTCTCTTAAGAATGGTAGGCATAGAGCAATAGTTGTATATCGAAGGTCAAAGAAGAAGAATCGTTGTAATCGGGAGATTATCGTTTCGTTGATTTGGCGAACATAGTGATGACACTTCCGACGCAAAGCAGGAATCCATTTTCGAGGCAAACTACAACTCAACAGATCAATCGTACAAATAAAACTGTTGAATTTTAATTTGTTGAATTTTAATTTTCCCTGAAGATGGTTGGTGCACGCATCTGAAACGTCGACCACTTCTCCGCTAAATCATCAGCGCGATCGTCTCCCTAAGACCTAGATTTGAATGTATATTTTTGTTCTAAGACTGTCTACACTTTTGTGTTAGATAGCCACTTTAAGATAAGAAACCACTTATATGTTATACTTGCAGATTCTCCTGTTGGTTTCGTGTGTTCTTGTATCACACGTGGTGGCGCCAGGTGATGGTGTACAAGCTATAGTGAAAACTACGACGAATCTCGTCACAGCTCCTTTGAACCTTGAAAAGTACTACCTAACAAACTTTTACAGTCTGCATTTTGACTGCTATCGATTTTGCTGGGTTGTACTTGGGAAGAAACGCCGAAATGAGTGCTTGGAAACTAAGAAAATCAAATGTCAAGAAAGACGGAATTACAGCTACGGACAATTTGTGGTATTTCACCTCACCAAGCTCGGCGTGGGCAAGGTCGCTTCCAAAGTGTTGGGAGTGCCCATTATGGTGGTCGGGACGGGTGTTCAAGCAGGAGTAGCCGCAGCGAGTACGGTAGCTTCAGGAGCTGTCGAGGGAGTAAAAGAAATAACAAAGGTAGGAAATCAAGTTGGACAAGCTACCTTGGATGTTGCCAAAAATGGAGTTGAAACTACTAAGGCAGCAGTAGAAGATACCAAAAAGGCTACGAGTGCAGCGCTTGGGGGAATGAAAGAGGCTGCTGATACAGGACTTGCAGGAGCGACAGAAAAGACTAAGGCAGCCGCTGGAGAAGCTTTAGGTGCGGCAAGTGCTGCTTTACAAGCACCAGGAGCTTTGCTGAAAAACGGTGGTCCATTATCAAAAATTCCCTCTTTCAATAAGGACAGTTAAATAAATTGGAAGATGTAAAATTGTCCAGATTGAAAAAGTGTTATTTTTTAACCAACCAATTGACTCTCTGGTATAGACTAGGACTCGACTTCGTCTCGAACTTAAAAACTATCTCGAGCCGGAAAAACCTCATTTTCGGCCCTAGGTACGAAATATAATATTTCACAACAATGCAAAAATGCATGTACTATGCAAACGCAGTAAACACTGCAGTAGGACTGCTGGCGTTAAACTACTAAAATTGGTGCAGACGACTTTTAAAAAATAGTTTGAACCAGTTGTGGTCGTGGTAGTTAGTTTTTATTCCAAAATATAAAAAATAATTAATTTTCAAATAAGGTTGAAAACTAAATGTATAGTTTTTTGTTGGTATTGTTGGTTTGTGAAATATTTATGTTTGTGAGTAAAATTTTTGTATCTATCATTTAATTTTTTTGTTTACACTTTGCAATGTTTCATAAACCGTCCAATTTGCAAGTGCTAAAAGAAGCTCTTATCCGCAGAAATGTGTTGATTTTAATACCTTAATCGGTTTTAATGGTAATTGCCACCCTCCATTAATATTATTTATAAGATACGTAACAACACAACCTAATCTTATAATTGCAGATATGCTATAGAAACCTATCATATTTACATGCATTCTTAATCAATTGATTGTTTCTTCAATTTGAAGCAAAATGTATTAAACTAATCAACTTTGTGATAAGTATGAGGAGACTTAAAATATTTCTTTAGTACTTCAATAACATTTAAATTCCATCCAAGCAACTCAGTGTTTGATTACAATAAATTAAACATATTTACAATAAATATAATTGTATTTACAATAAATTTAAATTGAATATATTTACAATAAATCGAATATGTGTTCGAACCGTTCTAATGTTCACAATAAACATTGTTAAAACAATAAAGTTATGAAAAGTTAATTAATGGAAATAGTTAAAAGCAATGAATAATTCATTAAGCTTTATGTTGCTTTGAATAATTCATTATCCACAGCTCTTTCAGAGATATAAATTTTATCTGGTGGAAGGAATTTGGAATATTAAACATTGTAATAATATCTTTTTTAATTAATATATTTTGTGGTGATATTATGCATCGTGTAGTACTGTATAGTTAGTTTCCTTTTTAAGTAAAAGATGATACAATGGCATGTACACCATCTTATAAATCTCAATTGCCTAGTTTATACAACTATGCATCTACCTAGATGTTTGATGAAATTTATCTCATTTCTGCCTATTATCAGCCCTTTCCTCTGTCAAAATGTATTGCACAAAATCGTTTCTTTTCAGTAAATAGGAGAAAGAATACGTCATTGAAAGAGCGTTTATAAGCTTGAGGAATAATTAATTCGGCATGAACTAAACCTCTTCTTCACTCATTAGCATTGGATATCGGTTCCTTTCATGATGTCCTGTAGAATTATTCTCGAGTAATACAAAGCGAACAAATTCAGTACTGTATAGATAAAATCGATTTATCTGTAAACATCTTGCAAACTTGTAATTGAAGTTATACAACCAATTTGTTTTTTGTATGTTTCTTCAATGAGAATTTTTTACTTTGGACTAAACATGTGCATATTCATATTCACCATGTAACATTAACTGCATTTTGGACACTTTAGTGAAAGCGCAAAAATACTTAAATAGAAGATTTGTGTTTTTACCAGCTGATCTTAGTCAGGAACTCAGCTGTCATCTAAATTGAACTCTAATCTATCAAGTTTGCCTTAACACACCCTAGTGTGAGTGTATCATAAAAATTCAATCTATAAAATTTTGGTTTCAGATGCTTAAATGTATACAAAGTTAGGGGGTCTTAAATCACGTGATAAGAAATTGTTATGCTGCATGGCAAAAACAAAATCCTAAACACTCTTCGTCTCTTATCTTCTTTCTTTTAACACTACATTCGTCAACTAAAAGTAACAATTTGCTAGTACCGTGTAAACCTTATTCGGCTATGGAATAACATGTTCTGTGTCAATTTATTTGATTTGGTAGTAGCATAATTTATAGTATAGCCTAATACTACTAATTAATTTATTGATATATCGATTTATTTTATTTTAGTTTTTTTATTGGAGGTTCAATATTCATGACAAACTCTAGCAATAAGGGATCGTATTATTAAGGGATTGTGGCGTCAGATGGTCTTATGTGCGAAATACAATTACAATTACCTTTGCGCGTGTCAGAGAGCGACTCAAAGGAAATAATCAGATTATGATATAGCTAAATGACTCCGAACTGACTATGTCAAATTATATCGAATTGAAGACCACTTTCGAATATTCTTTTGTTTTACTGTAGGTAACATGTCAATTTCCCCCATTAAAACATTTTTTTACTACAATCTTTTATCTATTATAGGCCTATCATTTAAGTAATACAATCAAATTTGTGTAAACGTTTAAGGCATTTTACCAAATATAAATATAGGCATTTAGCACATCAAATTGAAGGTTAGAGTGTGTACATTTGCCAAAATGTATTGGTTTAAAGGGATTTCTGCAGGAATTAAAGCCTGCATTGTGCCATATTAGACAAAACTCACACAGAAAATAATTTACATAAGTATCGCTAAAACATCCCAAAGCTGCGTTCCCAATTCACAAAGGATCTAAATACAGGGTTATTCTAAATGATGGACCCATTTTTAATGCTTTATAATTTTTATACTATTAAACTTACCGCTATAAAATACACATCAAACGAAAAAGCAACTCAAAGAGTTTATGCCTTCCAAAGACACATCATTTAACAATATCGATCCAACAGAACTGCAGATTTAATTGTACAAAGTTAAAAAATAATCTCCAACTTTTTTTACCACTAGAAATTTGGAGGTTACTTGACGTTTTTGCAAATAACTTTTAAATGGTGAGGAAATCGACCAAAGTGGAAGGTAATATTCCGAAAGAGAATAAAATTTCCTACAATCTACTATTACGCATATCTTGAAAATACTCAATAAATGTAGCCTAAATTTGGCTTAAAAAAAAGTGTGAAATTTAATGTTTGCTATGTTTATTGTCTACAATTGAAGACGGGGATTTTCAATTTTCTTTTTCATTTTGAGGCAATTTTTGGTACCTTTTTGCAAAAATGCATAATAGTAGATTGTAGGAAATTTTATTCTCTTTCGGAAAAATAACCAACTTCCCCAACAGCTGAAGCTAGAGACTGATTTACTTAAATTCAGAAAACAACTGAAAAGCATAATAGTTGAAAAGGCTTGCTACAGCGTCCGCGATTTCTCAGCTGACATGTAGTCAGTCATTCCTGTTAGATTAAAGATTAAGGCCGGCCACACACAGAACCGGGCAGGGCAGGGCACGACGAGACACCTGACTTGCCCTGTCCTGCAGGGGCCTATTGCATAAACCTACAAGTACAAGTTTACAAATTTACAGTTTACAGGTCCCTGTAAATACAATTTAACAGTTACAGGTGTTGCTAGAATAATTTGTATACTTGTAAGAACAAGTACAAAAATTGTAAACGGCTGATTACAATTTTACAATAAAATTACACATACGTCATTCGAATTTCCCATATAGGGAATAAGCTATTACCGTAGGTCTTATGGTAAGACCTAGACCCGGGAACGAATGGAACGATTTACTTTTTCGATTTGAGGCAAAAAACACCATCAGACCAAATTCATATATATTCGTGTGTGTGTGTCCGTTAGCGCGATAACTCGAGCAAAAATTATTTGATTTTGATGAAATTTTGTACTAAGGTGTAAACCTACGTTTATTCGTACGAGTTCGCGAACCAGCATGATCGGACCATGGGAACGGGGTTTTATGGGGTAAAAAAATGGTTTTCTAATTTTTGACCCTCAAAACACAACATTTCCCAATTTCTCTCTATACCTTTTTAAAGAGCTAAAAAATAGTTTAGTCAATCAAAGTATTTTTGTACGGTTATTGGTAACGGAGAAAATTAAAAAAAACTGTAATTTTTTTAATTCACATGTTATTCTTATGGAGAATGTTGTAAAATGTTGTAGTTTGCTTGTTTATTGATATATTTTGATCAAACTTGGAAAATTTATTTGTTTTATACTAAGCTATTAATATTTTACTGAAAAATACACTATTAGTTGCCTTGTAGCAGCAAACCTACGTACTCGTTAAACCTGTTATTTAAATAGATTTAGGCTAATTGAAAATCAATTCAGACAAATAGAAATTCGCTAGATCAGCAGGGTTTTATAAATAAAACATACAAGCTCACACTAAAACACTTACACACACACTAAACACTAAACACACTAACTATAGTTAGTGTTTAGTCTATTAAATTAATGTTAATCAATAGTTAACTAATTTGTTTAGTGATCATAAATGCTATAGTTCTTATTTGACTATGTCATCATCACTTTACTATAACATTATGAAAATATTATAGTTGTTTAGTTTTAAGTTTCAGTTTGAAGGTTGTGGATAAGAAGAATCATCACTATTCCACCATCTTTGTCTTAAAAAGAATAACTTGTACAATAGCAACAAAGGTTTACAGGCCAAAGAAGCTAGGTAAAAAAATCTTACATTTCTACAGGTAAATGTAAAATTGTAATCATTTTATTGTAAATACAAGTCTACACACTTGTAAAATTGTTAAAAAATGCCTGTAAATTTGGGTTTTTGAGTAGTTGTTACAAGTCTGTAACTTGTAGTTCATGCAACACCTGTAATTGCAATTTCTGAAGAATTCTTCAGAAATTTGCCTGTAAACTTGTAAAATTGTAAAATTGTAGTTTTATGCAATAGGCCCCTGCTGTCACACACAGAACGAGGCAGGGCACGTCAAGTAAAAGGTTTAGCCCACGTAAACCAGAAAATTCATATAGGATTTTTTATTTCTGAGCTTTGAGCCGATTTAGCCAACTTTTTAATTTGACTTTATACTTGGGAGCAGAATAGAAAACAAAATTCAAAGTCATACCTCCAGAGGAGTGATTTTTGAAACCCTTAATAATAATATGTATGTTGGCCCTCTCTTTCCTCAGTATCAA